AACAAAAAATTTTATTATTGAAAAATTACGAAATCAGAAACTATAAAATTAGAGTCTAAAATTTAAGAGTCATAGAAAAAGTGAAAAATTTGAATGGAGAAATTGAAAAATCGAAAACTGAAAAATTGAAAAATCAAAAATTTTGAACCGAGAAACTGGAAAATCAAGTGACTGAGAAATCAAAAATTAAAAAAGAACTAGAAATTGAAGAGTCGAAAAATTATTACTATGTTTTAGTACAATTAAAATTAAAAAATTGAAGAATTTAAAAATCGAAAAATTCAAGATTGTTTGAAACTGAAAGTCGAAAAATTAAAAAAATTTATACTGAGAAATTTAGAAATTTGGAATTATAAAATACGAAAAATTGAAAAAGAATAAATCTAATCACTGAAAAATTGCGACATCTAGGATTGTAAAATAAAAATCGAAAAACTTGAATATAGAAATGTAATATTTAAAAAATCAAAAAATTGAAAAGTAAAAAATCTAATCATTGAAAAATTCGAAAAATTCGAAATTGAAAAACTGCGAAATCAAAAATTGCAAAATAAAAATCGAAAAACTAAAAAACCAAAAAATCGAGTAATTGGAAAATAGAAAAACTGGAAAGTTGAAAAACCAAAAATACAAAAATCAAATAATTTTGTATGCAGAAATTGAAAAATCGGGTGATTCGAAAATCAAAAAATTACAAAATTGTAAAAGTGAAAAATCAAAAAATTTAAAAATTGAATAATCAAAATTTGAAATATCGAAAAACTGTGGCAGTTAAACATGAAAAAATTGAAAAATCGGGATACCAAAAGTCGAAACCTAAAAAACGGAAATTTGAAATATTTAGCAATTCTAAAATCAAAAAAATTGTAAATTAAAAATCGAAAAACTTAATATAAGAAAAAAATTCAAAAGAAAAGAAAATTAAAAATCAAAGACTGGAAAAATCAAGTCAAAGCATCAAAAAATTTGTAACCGAGAAATGAAAAAAACAGGTGATTGACAAATGAAAAAATTACAAAATTTTGGAAAGTCAAAAATCGAAAAATTGAAAAATCGAAAAACTAACACTGAAATATCAAAATATTGAAAAAGTTTAGAAAAATTCTTTATCGAAAAACAAAAAAAAAGAACGAAAATTGAAAAATCGGAAAATGGAATTATTGAAAATTCGGAAAAATCGAAAAATTAAAAAACGGAAAATTGAAGACTTTAAAAATTGAAAAATCAAAAAATTGCAACATTGTAGAATTAGAAAAACAGGAAAATTGAAAAGGAAAAATTCTAATCATTGGAAAATTGCAAAATAAAAATCGAAAAACTAAAATATAGAAATGGAATATTTAAAAAATCAAAAAATTGAAAAATCGAAAAATTGAAAAGTAAAAAATTTAAAATTGAAAAATTCGAAAATTCCAAATCGAAAAATTGCGAAATCAAACATTGCAAAATAAAAATCGAAAAACTGAAAAACAGAAAAATGGAGTAATTGGAAAATTCAAAATCTGAAAATAGGAAAATCAAATAATTTAATATACAGAAATTGAAAAATCGGGTGATTCAAAAATCAAAAAATTACAAATTTGTTAAAGTGAAAAATCTAAAAATTAAAAAATTGGAAAATTGATTTTAAAACTTGAAATATCGAAAAACTGCAGCAGTGAAACATCAAAAAATTTAAAAATCGAGATACCAAAAATAGAAACCTAAAAAAAAGATCTTAAATATTTAGCAATTCTAAAATCAAAAAATTGTAAAATAAAAATCGAAAAACTTAATAATCAAAAAAAAAAAATAAAAAAAAAGAAAAGATCAAATCAAAACACCAAAAAATTTATAATCGACAAATGGAAAAAACAGGTGATTGAAAAATAAAGGGTAAATCACAAAAATTTGGAAATTGAAAATTTCAAAAACTGAAAAATCGCAAAAAACTATCATTGACATCAAAATATTGGAAAATTTAAAAAAATTCTTAATCGAAAAACAAATACAAAAATTGAAAAATCGAACAATGGAATTATTAAAAATTCGAAAAATTGAAAAACTTTAAAAATAATAAAATTGAAAAACAAAAAATCTAATCAGTGAAAAATTGCAAAATCAAGGATTGCAAATTAAGAAACGAAAAACTAAAATATCAAAAGTGGAACATTTAAAAAATTAAAAAATTAAAAATTTTAAAATTGAAAAATCGAGAAATTAAAGAGTAAAATATTTGATCACTGAAAAATTGCGAAATCAAAAGTTCCAAAATAAAAATCGAAACATGGAGTAATTGAGAAAAAAAAATAGGAAGATTGAAAAACTAAAAATAGGAAAATCAAATAAGTTAATATCGAAAAATTAAAAAATCTGATGATTCAAAAATCAAAAAAAAATACAAAATTGTAAAACTGAAAAAATGTAAAAATAAAAAAATTGGGAAATTGAATTATCAAAACGGGAAATATCGAAAAACTGTAGCTGTGAAACACAAAAAATTTGAAAAATCGAAATAACAAAAATCAGAGCATAAAAAACCGGAAATTTGAAATATTTAACAATTCTAAAATCAAAAAATTGTAAAATAAAAATTGAAAACTTAATACTCGCAAAAAAAAACTGCAAATTAAAAATCAAGGAATGAAACAATCAAATCAAAATATCGAAAAATTTATAATCGAGAAATGTAAAAAAAGATTGAAAAATGCAAAATTACAAAATGTTGGAAAGTGAAAATTCCAAATATTGAACAACTGAAAAATCGAAAAATGGAATTATTCAAAATCGAAAAATCTAATCACTGAAAAATTGCGAAATCAAGAGCTGAAAAACTAAAATATCAAAAATAGAATATTTAAAAAATCAAAAAATTGAAAACCTGATTGAAAAATTCGAAAAATATTCCGAAACCAAAATTTGCGAAATCAAACATTGCAAAATAAAAAACCGAAAAATGGGGTTAATAAAAAAATGAAAAAGTGGAAAACTGAAAAACTAAAAATAGAAAAATCGAATAATTTCATATCCAGAAATTGAAAAATCGGAGGATTCTTAATCGAAAACCCAAAGAAACCAAATATTGGAAAATGGAAAAAGGAAAAGTCGAGAAAAAAATGGCAAAACTGAATATCGAAAACTGCAAAATTGTAAAGTAAAAATTGAAAAATTGCAAACGGAAAAACTGATAAATCGAGAAACAAAAATCGAAACACTGAAAAACGAAAATTTAAAATATCTGAAAACCGCGAAATCAAATATATAATTGCAAAATAAAAATCCTAAAACTTTAAAATCGAAAAATTGAAAAATTGAAAAACCGGAGAGAAATTAAAACAGTGAAAAATTGCAAAGTGTAAAATTTAAAAACAGAAAAAATTTTAAATTTAAAATTCGAAAAATTACAAACCAAAAAATTAATTAGTTGAAAAAGTGTAAAACTAATTCGAAAAATTGAAAAATTACAAAATATTAAAAATTAAAAATTCTAAGAACTGATAAAAATTGAAAATGGAAAATCGAGAAATAAAAATCGCAGATCTGAAAAAGTGAAAATTGCAAAATTGTAAAATCGAAAAATTGAAGAAAACAAAAAATGAAAAGTCAAAAAACTAGGAATAAAGACATTGAAACCAATAAAATTTAAAATATCTGAAAGGTGCAAAATCAAAAAAAAGGGCAAAATAAAATTCGAAAAATAGAATAACTGAAAAATCGGAAAAATCCGACAATTAAAAATCGAGAAAGTGAACATCGAAAAATTTTAAATTGAAAACTAGAAAAATCTCTAATTAAAAAACTGAAGAAACGAAAAATTGCGAAATTAAAACTTAAGAAATTGAGAAACTAAATATCGAACAATTGAAAAATTATAAAACTGAAATTTTTAAGAATTCAAAAAATCGAGAAGTCGAAAAATCAAAATCGGAAACCAAAAACCGAAAATTGCAAAATTGAAAAATCGAAATATTGCAAAATTATTTGTAAAAACTCTGCTTTTAATATAGCCTTTTCTAATTTTTATATAATTACAAAAAAAAAAAATAAAAACAAAAACTACATATTTTTTCTACTCTCAAATATTCTTTCTCTTTTTCTTTCCTTAATTGAACTCTACTGTCTACTCTACCGGAATGTTCCTCACGCTCCTTCTCCAAAAAAAAAAAATGCGAAAATTTACCCACCAGGCGCGCCAACTTTACCAAAAAAAAAACCAGCTGCATTAACTGCGCCAGATTCGCTCAATCATCATACGTTTCCTCCATCCAGTCGCACACTCGCACAAACATAAATTTTACGCCGCCATAAACGAAAACAAGCTTGTAAATGTCGCCGCGTCAATAAAGACGTTATTATCGGCTGCTGCTGACCGGACTGTTTTCGCTGATCTGAACCTACTGTTATTTTCTTTTCTCCACTGTCATTCTCACCACCGAGTGGTAAATAGAGTAAAATCAATCCGAACCCTGAAACCAAACCGACTAGTGCAGCAGCGAGCTTAATTCGATCTAAAATTTTAATTTTGCAGAAAATCCACACGATTCTTCCAAGGGAAGGTTTGTTCATTATGCTAGCTAAAAATTATTTGCTAATGGAGAGTTTATTTTGAGTTTGCGATAGTTTTGTTTTTCGAACGAAGATAGATAGTTTTAGCTCAAATATGGTGGGTTAAGAGGATTAAAACCGAAGCATCATCATATTTGGGACTTTTAACTGCGAGAGAAATTAAAGTGCTTACTTAGCGAAATTGTTTTGGAAATTCAGAGCTCCCTCGGTAATTCATACTTAACCTCCTCTTCTGTTAGATCTCTTAGGAGTTACATTTCGATTAGCATGGTTTTCTGATTTCTCCGCTTTTTATGTTTTTACGTTTCTTTTCATTACTTCACTTCGCACTTTCCGACACCCACGATTAATTAATTAATGTGTTATGATTACTTATTATTACTGCATTTGGCTAATTGCTACGTTTCCATTAAAACGAATCCTCCTACTAAAAGCTTTATAATCCCTTGTTGCAGAAATATCATCATGTTGAGTCACAGTGCCAGGTAAGCTTTCAGACCGAAAAAAGTTACGTATCTTTCTGCACGCTTTCCTCATTTTATTGTTGATCTACTTGTCGTGACTTTGAAGACTTTTCCATTATTTCTTTTCCTTATTAAGACACCAAATACACCTGACACAAACAACACACAAAGTTACTCTGGAAATGTAGGAGATCGTGTAGTTTTTGTTATTGAATTATTTATAAGTTCAGTTCACTTCCGTTCTGATTATTTGGTGCTAGGCGCATAGGGTGGCAATAAATTATAGACTTAATCGGCATTTTTGAATATAAAGAACTTCCTGAGCGACATGTTTGAATCCGAAACAAATAAATCTCCGAAAATAGCTTCTTCGCAGTTTGGTTTATGAAGCGAACTTCGAATGTCTCCAAAACTTAGGTTTCACTTAAAAGAAAACGCTTTGTTCGAATTTCGCTCAACACATTTCAAATTTCTTAATGTGTCTTTTACGGTTTGAGAGGGGTGTTTTCGCACTCGAGAAAGTCAGGCTTTATAAAACGCTTTCAGAGTGGCGAGAATAAAATTATATTTAATAAAATATTAAACGATATTATTTTCAACTCGTTTGAGCTGATAAGTAGGCAACCAATAATTCACCCCTAACAACGATGGCATTATTTCCATTTCTCTTTTGTTTAATTTCTATTGTTTCTTCAAATGTTGTGTTTTATCAAATACAAGATTCGTTAACAATGGTACTCCAACATTATTTTTAACTATACAGAGTGTCCTGTTAAGTTTATTTTTAAAATCTGTATTCTCATAAACACTCGGTATGTAAAAGTTGATTTCATTGATGCCACAACAAAGTGCGTTTTTCTGTTTATTTTTTCACAAAATATTGCCAACACAAAGTTCAAAAATAATTGTTTAGTGATTTTTTTGCATCGTTAAAAAAATTCAAGAAAGTTGGAATAACGTGGCAACGTTGCATCTGAATTTCAAAAATAAAATAGGGTTATGAAGCTAATAAAAATATGTAAAATTATATAGTGTTCTATTAAAAAAAAAAATTTATTTACGGAAATTGAAAAATTGAAAAATGGGGTAACTAAAAATCCGAAAATAAAAAAAAACAAAATTTAAAATATCTAAAAATTGTGAAGTCGGAAACTTGCCAATCGAAAAATTGCGAAATCAAACATGGCAAAATTAAAATGGGAAAATGGAATAATTAAAAAATAGAGAATGAAACATTGGAAAACTGTAAATTTTTAAAATTCAATTAGAGAATAATTTTAAAATTGAAAACTCCAAAAAGTGCAAATCCAAAAATGAATTAATTGAAAATTTGAAAAACTAAATCGAAAAAATGAAAAGTTCTAATCTAGAAGTGGAAAAATCACGTGATTAAGAAACTGAAAAACTACAAAATTCTAAACATTGAAAAATCAAAAAATTGATTTGAAACATCGAAAAATTGCAAAATAAAAATCTAAAAACTTAAAAAGATTGAAAACTGCCAGTGTAAAATTTAATAATGGAAATTTTTTTCTAAAATGTAAAATTGAAAAAATTGCAAATCCAAAACTGAATGAGATGAAAAAATGTAAAGGTAGTTCGAAAAATTGAACAGTTGAAAACTGAGAAATTGAAAAATTACAAAATCTTAAAACTGAAAATTCCAAAAGTGGAAAAATTAAAAAAAAAATGCAAATCGTAAAACTGAAGAAACAAAAATTAAAAAATCGAAAATTGCAAAATTGTAAAATTCGAAAAATTGCAAATAGAAAATTGGATTAATTAAAAATACGAAAAACTAAATAAAAAAATTAAAAATCAGGTAATTGAGAAATTAAAAAAAAACAAAATTTTAAAAACTGGAATTCTAAAAATTGAAAAAAAGAGGAATTGAAAACTCTCACAAATGAAAAATCGAAAAACTGTAATCTTGAAACATTGAAAATTTGCCAAACTCAAAAGTTATAAATCGAAAAATTTTAAAATGAAAACTAGAAAAATTATAATGAAAAAATAAAAAAATGAAGCGAGGAATTGAAAAATCTAAAAATTGCAAAATAAAAACCGAAGGATGAAAAAACGAAAAACAGGATAATTGTAAAAATGAAAAATGAAAAAATTCGAAAAATCGAGCAGTTGAAAACTCGAAATATTTAAGATTGAAAATTACAAAAGTTGCTAATCAAAAAACCAAAGAAAGGAAGTATTGAAAAATCGAGAAACATCGAAAAAACGAAAATTTAAAACATTTGAAAATTGTAAAATAAAAAAAATATAAAATTCCAAAAACTTAAAAAATGAAAAACTGGTACATTCAAAAATTGCCACGGTGTAAAATTTAATAATGGAATTTTTTTTCTAAAATGTAAAATTCAAAAAACTGCAAATCCAAAAACGAATTAGATGAAAAAATGTAAAGCTAGTTCGAAAAATTGAAAAGTTGAAAACTGAAAAATCGAACAATTAGAAAATCTTAAAAACTGAAAATTCCAAAATTGGAAGAATTTAAAAAAAAAATGCTAATCGTAAAACTAAAGAAACAAAAATTAAAAAATCGAAAATTGCAAAATTGTAAAATTCCAAAAATTACAAATCGAAAATTGGATTAATTAAAAATACGAAAAACTACATAAAATAATTGAAAATCAGGTGATTGAGAAATTAAAAAAAAAACAAAATTTGATAAACTGAAATTCTAAAAATTGAAAAAACGAGGAATTGAAAACTCAACAATTGAAAAATCGAAAAACTGTAACCTTGAAACATTGAAAATTTGCCAAATTCAAAAGTTGATAAACCGAAAAATTGTAAAATGAAAACTAGAACAATTTCTAATGAAAAAACCGAAGAAACGAGGAACTGAAAAATTGAAAAATTGCAAAATAAAAATCAAAGCATCAAAAAATGGAAAAACAATAATTGTAAAAGTGAAAAACCAAAAAATTCGAAAAATCGGGAAGTTGAAAAATCAAAAATTTTAAAAATGAAAAATTGTAAAATCAAAAAGTTGTAAGATTAAAATATCGAAAGACTGAAAAATCGAAATATTTAAAATTGAAAATTAGAAAAATTCCTGTTCAAAAACAAAAACAGAAGAAACGAAAAGTTGAAAAATCGAGAAACATAGAAAAAACGAAAATTTAAAACATATAAAAATTGTAAAATTATTTAAAACTTTGAAAATTACCACGGTGTAAAATTTAATAATTGAAATATTTTAGAGAAATTTCGAGAAATCGCAAAATTGCTAAATCTTAAAAACTGAAAATTCCAAAAGTGGAAAAATTTTAGAAAAATTGCTAATCGTAAAACTGAAGGAACAAAAATTGAAAAATCGAAAATTGCAAAATATAAAATTCGAAAATTGGATTAATTAAAAATACGAAAAACTAAATAAAAAAATTGAAAATCAGGTGATTCAGAAATTAAAAAAAAAAACAAAATTTTAAAAACTGGAATTCTAAAAATTGAAACAACGAAGAATTGAAAACTCAACAACTGAATCGAAAAACTGTAACCTTGAAACATTGAAAATTTGCCAAATTCAAAAATTAATAAATCGAAAAATTTTAAAATGAAAACTAGAAAAATTTTAATGAAAAAATAAAAAAATTAAGAAGCGAGGAATTGAAAAATCGAAAAATTGCGAAATAAAAATCGAAGCATCAAAAAATGGAAAAAATGGAATTAAAAAATTATGTGGGAAATTCTAAACATTGAAAAACCGAAACATTGAAATCAAAAACTGAAAAATCGAAATATTCGAAAGTTAAAAATAGAAAAATTTTAAAACTCTAATCGAAAAACTGAAGAAACGAAGAATTTGAAAAATCGAAAAATGCAAAATAAAAACCGAAGGATGAAAAAACGAAAAAGAGGATAATTGTAAAAATGAAAAATGAAAAAATTCGAAAAATCAAGCAGTTGAAAACTCGAAATATTTAAAATTGAAAATTAGGTCAGAAAAAAGTCGTAAAATTGAAAAATCGAAAATGCAAAGTGTTTAAATTAAAAAATCGAAAAAGTGAAGAAACAAACAATCGAGAAACATCGAAAAAACGAAAATTTAACACATCTAAAAATTGTAAAATTAATTAAAATTGTAAACTAAAAATCCAAAAACTTAAAACTTTGAAAATTACAATGGTGTAAAATTTAATAATGGAAAAATTTTAGAGAAATTTCGAGAAATCAAAAAATTACAAAATCTTAAAAACTGAAATTCCAAAAGTGAAAAAATTTTATATAGAAAAATTGCTAATCGTGAAAGTGAAGAAACAAAAATTGAAAAATCGAAATTTGCAAAACTGTAAAATTTAAAATTCGAAAAATTGATAAATCGAGTAACTAAAAATCAAAACGTTGAAAAAACGAGAATCTATAAAACATCTAATAAAAGTTGTAAAATCAAAAAAGTGCAAAATAAAAATCGAAAAATAACAACATTGTAAAATAATTTACAAAAAATTGTAAAATTGAAAAAACGAGTAATTGAAAACTCAACAAGTGAAAAATCGAAAAACCGTAACCTTGAAACATCGAAAATTTGGAAAATTCAAAAGTTAAAATCGAAAAATTTTGAAATGAGAATCGAGGCACCAAAAACGAGATAATTGTAAAAATGAAAAATCAAAAATTTCAAAAAATCCAGAAGTTTTGAAAAATCAAAAATTAAAAAAAATAAAAATTGTAAGACTGAAACATCGAAAAAACGAAAATTTAAAACATCTAAGAATTGTAAATCGAACTGAAATGGAAAAATTGGAAAATCAAAAATCAAAAAACGGCAACGCTGTAAAATTTGGTTATAGAAAAATTTTAAAATTGAAAATTGAAGAATGGGTTAATTGAAATTTTGAAAAATTAAATCGAAAAATTAAAAAATCAAGTGATTGAAAATTACAAAAATTTGAAAAACGAGATTTCTAAAAATTGAAAAATCGTGAATTTGAAAATCTGAACTTAAAAAATCAAAAAATTGTAACACTGAAACGCCAAAAAATTGAAAAAATCAAAAAAAT